ATGAATGATTTGGAGTCAGCTGATTATGCTCGACCAATACACGAAGATAGTACGATCGTTTCGTCGAAGATTGAGCTAATAAAATCCTTGACTTCCCTTGCTACGCGAAAAGCAACTCAGTCAATGAAGCCAGCCAATAAAATACTATTTCTGTTGTACGTTGAATTTGCTCGATTTATGTCTCAGTAGACAGGTAGGTAAATAGTACCGATTTGGTGGGACCGAAAAGTCTCTCAGTCCGACCCGTTTCCAAGAATCTGAACAAGTTACTTAACACTTTCACTGCTACTCATTTGCCCAGTGCTGCCCCCATCCGGCCAGCCATTTTGAAAAAAAAATGCCAAATTTCAACCTAGATATTTTATTACACAAAACTGGCGCCAGTGTGTTTTACAGCCTTCCATTTTCATGTATATACCTGGGAATGACTTAACAGATTAGTAATGGGTATACACATGATATCTTTTGAAGCATTGTCCTTTGTGGAGTGGGACTTCACACTTTTTTGCAGAAGTACCTTGTTTCTGAGCATTTTCCAGCTTTTTTGCCGACTCTGCATGGCTTGGAAGGGTACCTTTTTTATTGTTTGGTGGAATGTCTACCAAGTCATGAGCTTTCATTCCACCAACCAGGCGATTGGCAGGATTAATTTTAGGTGCCCTTGGACATACGGTCACGGGCGCTGGGAGCATCAACATACTAGCCGCATTTTCGTCAGGAATATTTTCAAATTAGATACGAAACTACCATGACGTAGAGAAAAATCGAAGCTGACTAATAATTTGCATGATAGAACAGTTAGAATTTCCCGTATTCTACGATAGATGGCGCAACGGGACACTCATATGCAAAAAAACGTAGGTTTCCGTACTTAGCCAGCTGGAGCAAGATAAGAAAAATGAAGCTCTCTTTCAGCGGAAGGGTTAGTTTGCTGCTAGGAACATTTGCTGTGTCGTGCTAAACAATATAGTTTTGTTGTTATTTTTACTATAAAAATGTGTTTTTTATTTCTTTCGTAGTGTTTTGGGGTTGATTATTTGACCCTAGCTGGGGCCTTAGCAATTGCTACCACACCGGTTTAAGAAGGACCTAGGAACCAGAGCAATTAAGAAATGGTTTCACGCCCCCTGAAAACCTCCTGATCGGATGCCTTGCTGCAAGAGTTAGCTTATTGTCATACCCAGGTCCTGACGATGAAGAAAATGAAAATATATGCAATGAAAATATTGGTTTCTTAAAGCATACATTATCTGTACACAAAAAATGCAGATTTTGTTGAGCTTGACTCAACAGTGTTCCTATCTAAAAATATTTAGTATCTGTCTTTATTTCTGAGATGAGGTATTATGTACACTATTTACATTATTCGGACTATTGTCCTCATCTTTGTCGCCATATTTATTACAACGTTTCGGCTTTTCAGTATCTGTCTATATTTCTGAGATGAGGTATTATATACACTATTTACATTATTCGGACTATTGTCCTCATCTTTGTCGCCATATTTATTACAACGTTTCGGCCTTTCAGTATCTGTATATTTCTGAGATGAAGTATTACGTATCTGTCTATATTTCTGAGATGAGGTACACTATTTAGATTATTCGGACTATTGTCCTCATCTTTGTCGTCATATTTATTACAACGTTTCGGCCTTTCAGTATCTGTCTATATTTCTGAGATGAAGTATTACGTACACTATTTAGATTATTCGGACTATTGTCCTCATCTTTGTCGCCATATTTATTACAACGTTTCGGCCGTTGTACACTTCGGCCTTCTTCAGGTGGCTGGAATGTTGAACTGAACCCTTTATTTCGCTCACTGGGGTAGACTGTTCTAGTTCCACGAGCCATGTTTAATGGATGTCAGTTATCAGTTATCTCCCGTTCATTTCTCTATCCAACTTCTACACTGCCTTAACCGGCTAATGAACTCACACTCTTTGGGTCTTGTCACTGGATCTAACCAACGCTTTTACCTACTGTGCCATGTGTCCTCGAGGACAACGGCCGAAACGTTGTAATAAATATGGCGACAAAGATGAGGACAATAGTCCGAATAATGTAAATAATATAAAAATATTTATGTTTGCCTCGGGGTTCTTGACAGGCTCCAGAGGCGGATATGCAATATTATTGGCCCTGCTCTGGCATCTCGTCTACAGTCACTTTCTCACACACGCGCCGTCGCCTCTCTCTGTCTGTTTTACAAATACTTTCATGGCAACTGCTCTGAGGAGCTGCATTCGCTGGTTCCCAGAATTCATGAGTTCAAGCGCCCTACGAGGATGGCATCCCGCTCTCACCCCTTCACTGTCGAAACTCCTAAATGTCTCTTCTACTCCAATAGCTTCATGTCTTGCACCTCTCGCCTGTGGAACTCCCTTCCCTATTCTAGTTTCCCTGTGAGCTATAATCTCCAGCTATTCAAATGTAATGTCAATCGACATCTCCAGTTGCCTTGATCTATCCACTACCCTTCTCCTCATCCTTTCTTCTATCACTCCTATCTGATCTTGCTCCAAATTTTCTGTAACCCCTTGCGTCCCAGTGGCTTCTCGCCTAGCTTGGGATGAAACGCTTAAAAATGTCTATGTGTCCATGCTTTCGAATATTGCAATCACATTTAGTCTGAGGCTCCTGTTATGTGTTTAGAGATATTTGATAAAAGACTAAGAAGAATCTGAAATGTTAATGACCCTGATCTAGCATCTTGACATTTTATCCCACCCGTAACGTGGCTTCCTTTGTCTTTTTTCGATAAGTACTTTCATGGCGATTGTTCTGATGGATTTTGCTCTATGGTACGTAGATTTTCTGAATTTAAGCGCAGAACTGGATTGGCGGAAAGGTATCATTATTTTACATTTGAACTGGCTAGATGTAGCCGTAAATTCTATGTTAACAGTTTTTTTCCCTCGCACTTCCCGCTTGTGAAACACACTTCCGGTTTCTTGCTTTCTAGTCAGCATTGATCTTCAAAATTTATGTCAAGTGTTATGTTTTATCTTAATTCCTGTTCTTTTATTGTTCTCGCTTCTAACTAATGTTTTGCTTTTTCTTATATTCTTTCACGTTCAGTAACCCCAAGCATCTTAGTGGCTTTATTGCCTTGCTTGGGGGGATTTAGAAAAAATGGCCACACATCAGAACCTTTTTTGAATTCCATTTTAGAATATACTCAGCACTTCCGTACTGTTTCTTCGTAAATATTTTCTTTGAAGCCATTTTCTTTCATTAAATGGTCGTAGATTTCTTTCTTGCTTGTTTTCTTCCTATTCTTTTGTAATCTCCATCTTCTTCCATTTTCTTGGCCTTACTTCATTGATCCTTATTTATTTTCACGCATTTTTATTTTCAGTTTCCTTCCTGATTTTTGGTTTTCTTCTAAAATTGATCATTTTTTCGTTTCCAGTTTAAGATTCATTATTTTTCTTGTTTTTCACTCATCCATTTTGATTTTCCTTCTTTGTTTCATTCATTTTCTCTCTCTTTCTCTTCTTTCTTTCTCTCTTGGATTATTCAGGTGTATAATTTTCACTGGTTCATCTATCTATCTATCTATCTATCTTAGCCTCTTCATATCTATCTTAGCCTCTTCATATCTATCTTTGCCTTTTCATATTATCTATCTATCTATCTATCTATCTATCTTAGTCTCTTTATATCTATCTTGGCCTGTTCATAATATCTATCTATCTATCTATCTATCTATCTATCTATCTATCTATCTATCTATCTTAGTCTCTTCATATCTGTCTTAGCCTGTTCATAATATCTATCTATCTATCTATCTATCTATCTATCTTAGTCTCTTCATATCTATCTTGACCTGTTCATAATATCTATCTATCTATCTATCTATCTATCTTAGTCTCTTCATATCTATCTTGTCCTGTTCATAATATCTATCTATCTATCTATCTATCTATCTATCTATCTATCTATCTATCGTCTATGCTTGTTTGTTGCTTTCATAACTTGCCGTATTGTTTTTTTTTACTTCATTTGTTACAATTTTTTATTGTGTGACTTCATTTTTCTTTCTTGCTTATTTTTCTTTTCTTTTCTTTCTTTCTTTCTTTCTTTCTTTGCTTACTTTATTTCATCACACCCTCTTTTTTCCTTTCTCTTCCCTTTTTTCCTTTTTGTTTCTTTACTATTCTTTCTTCCATTCTTTTTCCCCTTCCTTTTAAACTTTCGCTCCATTTTGCTTTTCAGTCTTTCCTTCTCCCAGCTCTCGTTTTAACTTTCCTTTTCCTTCCCTCTCCTTTCCTTCGTTCGTTCCTTCCTTCCTTTTCTTCACTTCATACCTTCTTTCCTTTTCCTTTTCCTTCCTTTTTTTGTACCCTCCATCCATTTCTCCACTTTATACACTTCTTTCATTCCGATTTTTCTTTCATCCTTCTTTTCTGCATTCCTTAATCGATAGTTTTGCATCATTTCCTTCCTTTTATCTTTATTTATTCCTCCCCTCGCCAATTTAACTTTTCCTTCATTATACCTTTTTTCGTTCTTTTATTTCTTCCTTCCTCTTCTACTGTTTTCTTCCTTCCTTTACTCTTTGACCATATTTCTCTCCGTTCAACCTTTCCACTTTCCCTTTCTTTCTTTCTTTCTTTCTTTCTTTCTTTCTTTCTTTCTTTTCTTTCTTTCTTACTTCATCCCTTTCTTCTTTTGCTCAACATCAATTCTACTTTCTGTTCAACTTTCCCCTCTCTTCCTTCCTTCCTTCCTTCCTTCCTTCCTTCCTAACTTCATTCATTCATTCCTTTCCTCTATCATTTTTTCGTTCTTCCTTTTTTTTCCTTGTTTATTTTTCCCTGTTTCCTTCCCTTCTATCTTCTTTTCTTCCTTTCTTCCTTCCTTGCTCTCTTTCTTGCTTTCTTTCTTCTGACTTTCTCCCTTTCTTCCTTTTATTTATTCTTTCCAACCCTTTGTTTCGTACTTTGTAGTTCCTTTCTTTGTTCATTATTTTCTGTATTTATTCATTTGTCTTCCTTCCTTCCTTCCTTCCTTCCTTCCTTCCTTCCTTCCTTCCTTCCTTCCTTCCTTCCCTCTCTCCCTTCCTTCCTTCATTCCTTCCTTCCTTCCTTCTTTCCTTCCTCTCTCCCTTCCTTCCTTCATTCCTTCCTTCCTTCCTCTCTCCCTTCCTTCCTTCCTCTCTCCCTTCCTTCCTTCCTTCCTTCCTTCCTCTCTCCATTCCTTCCTTCCTTCCTTCCTTCCTTCCTTCCTTCCTTCCTTTTCTCTTCAAACATTCTTCTCCATTCAACCTTTCCGCCTTTATTCCCTTTCTTTTCTTCTATTCCACCCCTTCCTTCCATCCTTCCACCCCCTTTCTTCCTCTAATTTCACATTCTCCCTCTTTCCTTCCTTCTCCCCTCCGATCCACCTGTTTCCCCATCTCACTAATTCCTACATTTTAACCCCCACTTCTTCATTGCTCCTACCCTCCCCCCTCTTTGCTTTTCCCTTCCCGACTTATTGCCTTTAATTAACGATGGTTTTTCAATTAAAATTACACGTGATTTACTAAGATTAGAATTTAAAGAGCCAACCGTGTGCGAAATCCTTTGTTTGCTTTTCGAAGGCGGATACGAGGCCAATTTGATTCAGTCTCGTCATCGAAATCGCTTTAAATTTTGCATATATTCTACAATTCAACGGTCGGGAAACAAGCACACATGCACACAATCCCATGCAATATTCTGGCAGACACGCACTAACACATTTACATGTTTGTGCACACGCATATCTGCGCGTACAGATCTTATATCTATTAGCACATATATTGCACATATATTGCAAATATATTGAACATATGTTGCACATATATTGAACATATATTGCACATATATTGCAAATATATTGCACATATATATAAAATACATTGCACATATGCTGAACATATATTGAACATACATTGCACATATATTGCACATATATTGGAAATATATTGAACATATATTGCACAAATATTGCACATATATTGAACATATATTGCACATATATTGCAAATATATTGAACATACATTTCACATATATTGCACATATGTTGAACATATATTGAACATACATTGCACACGTATTGAACATGTATTGCACATATACTGAACATATACTGAACATATATTGCACATATGTTGCATATATATTGCACATATATTGCACTTTTCTTTGTTTGTGTAGTGGCCAATTAGTCTTAGCCTTTCGTTATTTTTTTCTTTATGTAGTTAGTAAGTTAGTCTTCTCTCTTTTTTTTCTTTCTTTATGCAGATAGTAAATTAGTCTCTTTCTTTCTTTCTTTCTGTAGTTAGTTTTCTTTTCTTTCTTTTTTCTTTCTTTCTTTCGTTATGTAGTAGCAAATAAGTCTTAGTTTTTCTTTCTTTTTTTCTTTCTTTATGTAATTAGTAAGTTAGTCTTTTGTCTTTTCTTTCTTTTCTTTTTTTCTTTCTTTATATAATAGCAAATTAGTCTTTCTTTTCTTTTTTTCTTTCTCTCTTTCTTTCCTTATGTAGTTAGTCAGTTTTCTTTCTTTATTTATTTCGTTAGTAAATTACTCTTCTTTCTTTCCTAAGATGCCTCGTCAGATCGAAACTTTCATATGGATGCCATGCGTAGCGTCAAACCCATTCAGAAATATTTAAACTGTCGGCTTTCTCAGATCGATGGTTAAAAACAGCTTCCAGCGAATGAAGCCTATGGATCTTGGCGAACTTCATAGTTCTTTGAATATTTGTAACTGGCGCTACAGAATCGTAATGAATTGTACCAAATAACGGAAACCACATTCGTTTAAAAACTCTCTCCAGCAGCAACAATTGAAATAGATATTACATGTTACTCGGAGAGAAAATAATGACTTCATCAAGATGTTGACGTTCTACACAACTTCAAACAAAAAGTTAGGAAGGAAACCCCCAAAATATTATTGGGTTGATGCATAATTATCAGGCGTTTTTTAAACAATATTTGTTATGCCATGGTAGAGGCACGGTAGAGTTATGGATAGCAGCTCGGATTGAGGAATCGGAGAGCCCAGTTCGAATTCCAGTCGAATCCATTGCATTCACTTACGTGCTAATACCCTTGGAAAAGGTATGAATCTTCTTCTTCTCCCCCACCAGCTATGGTTCTATAGCCTTGGATGGCAACTGATCTACTGTAGAAAGAAATGGCAACCTATTGCAGGAAAAGGTCTGTCTCGTCAGTCATGTATCGAAGGATAACATGATCGCCTAAGCGTGTATCACGCATGGCACGATTATAAAAAATGAAACATAACAATTCAACAATAATATTTTTAAATGATTATTCCGGAACGTATGATTATCGACACGCATTTTTATAAACTGACAATAAAATATTTTTATTAAAAAAGGTAAACAAAACCGCAGTTTTTATTAACAAATAACTCGACTACACAAAAACGCCTGATAATTATGCACCAACTAAATAGAAAGAGCTATAACATATACTAGACCTATTTCCTAAAAAAAATTAATAAATTAATTATTAATATTTTATACATTTCAAACGACCGCTGTACTGGCTGCTCAGTCAATGAATGCCAAATGTTTCCTTGTAAGGAAATGTGTCATATTACAATTACACAAAACCAGAGCATTAACCTGCAAACTGGTGACATATTTTTAAACAGCCTCCTTAGATCGAGACTTTCATCTCGATGTCAAGCATGGCGCCAAACCTGATCAGAAACATTGAAACATTCAGCTGTATATAGCCGCTTTCTCAGATCAATCGTTAAAAATGCTAAGGATGTGGACCAAGCGTATGAACAACGATGTGGTCTTAGAGAGGATGCAAACAAGGAGGAGGCTTATACTTAACATCAGGGAGAGGTAGCTGAAGTTTCTGGGACACATAATGAGGAAGGAGGGCTTGGAAAATCTGATAATCACGGGTCGAATAGGGGTAAGATAGACCATGGAAAACAACGCAGGACATACCTGGCGGGGTTAAGCAAGTGGATGAGAGAACGTGGTCTGGGGGTAAAAAAGCAGAGGGAAAGATCTTGTTGAGAGCTGCAAGGGATAGAGAGGAGGTGGAGAGCCATGATCGCCTACGCCCTGAAAGATATGGCACATAAAAAGAAAGATCATTGTTGAAAGAAACCCCACTGCAACTAACGCCACCGAATCTCCACTGGAACGTCTTGACGGCGGCGAATGTTGGACGAAGATGAAGAAGAGACTCAAGGCGACGGAGATGTGGTTCTACAGAAGGATGCTAAGGATATCATGGGGCGAGCAACGATGAGATCTTAGAGAGGTTGCAAACAAGGAGGTTTATACTTAATATCAGGAAGCTGAAGTTTCTGGGACACATAATAATAAGGAAGGAGGGCCTGGAGAATCTGATACTCACGAGTCGAATAGGGGGAAAGAAGATGTGGTACTACAGAAGGATGCTCAGGATATCATGGACCGAGCGTGTGAACAACGATGTGATCTTAGAGAGTTGCAAACAAGGAGGCTTATACTTAATATCAGAAAGAGGCAGCTGAAGTTTCTGGGACGCATAATAAGGAAGGAGGGTTTGGAGAATCTGATACTCACGGGTCGAATAGGGGGAAAGATAGACAAAGGAAAAAAACGCTTGACATACCTGGCGGGCTTGAGCAAGTGGATGACAGAGCGTAGTCTGGGGGAGGAAGCAGAGAAAAGGAACATGTTGGGAGCTGCAAGGGAGAGAGGGAAATGGAGAGCCATGATCGCCTACGTCCTGAAAGAACATGGCACGTAGAAAGAAAGAAGTTAAAATAGCTATGTGTGTGTATGTGAGAGAGAGAGAGAGAGAGAAAGAGAGCGAAGCCTGAGGGTCTTTGCAAAAGTCATCCTTCTTTGAACATTGTGAACTGGTTCTACAGATTCATACAAAACTGTATCAAATATCACAAACCATATCACTTGAAAAATACCAACAACAGGGAGACCTAAAGTGGATTGCACATGTAATTCGAAGAGAAACTAGCGATTTTCCAAGCGTAGCTCGGATGTGGCACAAGGCCGAATGTATGAGGCACCCAGTGAGGATCGAACTCACTACTCAGTCGTAATTGTTCTAGCGAGACAAGCTTGCTAACCATTACACCTATTATGCCCTATTAGCTATTTTCTACAGGAAGACAATATATAGTTTTTAGCAAGGGAGACATTACCATTTTAAGAAGACAGAATAATCATTAGCAAGGGCGATAACCCAAAAAATCAAACTAAAAATTCAAGATGTCAATATCTCTATTTAAGTGGGACGTGTTATAACTGAATGTATGGGGCACCCAGTGAGGATCGAACTCACTACTCAGTCGTAATTGTTCTAGCGAGACAAGCTTGCTAACCATTACACCTATTATGCCCTATTAGCTATTTTCTAAACGTAGCTTAGATGTGGCACAAGGCCGAAACTGTGGAGCACCTAGTGAGGATCGAACTCACTTTTCAGTCGAAAGTGATCTAGCGAGACAAGCTTTCTAACCATTACACCACGCCGAGGTGCCCAATTCGAAGAGAAACTAACTACATAATGAAGATGCTGACGTTCCACACCACTTTAAATGAAAGATTAGAAAGGAGTACTCAATCAAAAAGAGTGATAACAGCCATTGGTCATATGAAACTGATTTTCCTGAAAAAAATGTTTTAAGAGAAAGTTTTTTCTAAATTTCAACCAAAAGCAGTACTGGCTGCTCAGTCAATGAATGCCAAATATTTCCTTATAGGGAAACGGCTAAT